ATCCTTTAGAACCCTACATTTTGGTGGCAGAAGGTCAGAGAATTACACTTAGGCCCACATTTTAGAAACAGATCAAAAGTTTTTCCACAACGCAGGGTTTAGGGCTGTTGTACATTAGGGTCGTTATGAGTCGCTATGAGTCACAAGCAACTCGACGGCACATAACAACAACAATCTTGAGTAGCAATGACAGATTTGCTTCTAAGCCCCAGACCTGTAAATTACTGACACATGTGCACATCACTGAAGATGAATACAAAAACCACCTCAGCAAGACAAAGTTTCAAAACTACAGAGCTTTCAAAATATCTATGTTTTCATTATACACCTAACAGAGAACAGATAGGTTTTGGGGATTCTAAGTAATTAGACTGCCCCAGTGAAATTGAAAAATTACAAACCATGACATATCAATCTATTTTAATATGATGTATTGAGTAATTCTTGCCCTTTTTACAACATAGAAATATATCAACAAAAAATTTTTAAATTGAGGGTTTTTTTCAAAGAAAGGATTTTATAGTATGATAAACAATGAAATAAATTCTAGAAATACTCTATCCAGAAGGGCAGATCTATAATCATACATTAATAGTGTTTCCAAGCTTTTCAGCAGCTATCATTCTATAGCTGTGATTGGAAACTCTACTCAATATTAGGATATATTTCAGTAGTATTGATAATAAAATTAATTATTTCTGTTTTGTTTCCACTCATGTGATTATATTGCTTGTCCCATGAAAACTGTAGAGATTATTCTAATAATAATAATAATTGTGGCTATCATGCATTGAGTATTTTTTTCATGTTTTAGGCTTTAGGCTATAGGAAATTTTATTTGGAAAGTCAATTAAGAATTTAAAGTTATATTTTTTAATTATCTACATCACTGATACTCAATTAAGACTAATATGTACTAGAAGCCTACAGAGCTCTGATAGCCTAGTGGTAAAAAGCTGCACTACAATTCCAAAGGCATACTGTTCGAATCCGCGAGCTGTTCCATGGGAGAAGGATGGGCAGTCTCCTCCCATGTAGTTTACTGCCTCAGAAAATCCACTGGAGGGCCAGCTGGGATCAGTTCTGAATTGATACACAGTCATAACAAGAAATATCTAATCACTTATCTGAGAGTTATCCTGGAGAAATGAAATATGGCCTGCAAAACAAGGAGGGGAAAATGTCCATTATCTGTATTACTCAAGGGCTAGAAAAAGACAGAAGGTTTAGAGGGTCAGCTATAAGTCAGTTCTGACTCCACAGCGTAACCATGGCAGTGCTGCTACATAACAAGACTATCACAAGTGGATGGTTTGAACAAAACATAAATGTCTTTTCTCATGGCCCAAATCCTGTGGGCTGGCTCTAAGAGGTTTTCTGAAGGGAAGCCCTTGTTTCTTTCTGCTTCAACTGGTTCTTCATGTGCCTTGGCATCTCTTTCCCCTCCAAACTCCATTTACCTAATCAGGTATTTTCATATCTTTTGAGAAAGTGACTCAAGACACACCCTGCATTAATCTTTCCAATAACATAACCAAAATCCCATTTCAAATGAGATTGTAACTGCAAACATCATGGTTAGGATTATCACATGTATTTGAGGGGACACAATTCAATCCAAAGCAAGGGCCCTCCCACTCACAATATTCCAATTCCAACTTTAGTACATTGCAAGCAGATTGTAAAAGAACAACTCTCTTATCCAGTTATAATTCTCAATTTACATATCCCCAAATTCAAAATGAGTGGGATTTATAATTTAATATCAAATGCAGTACATTTATGATAAACTGCCCCCTGCATACTAGTTGTGTTTATTTCAATTTGTTTATCATAATTAAAAGAAGAATATAATGGAGTCTATAACCCAACTTCGATAATTATCAACTCTTGAATCAATTGCAATTAATCTTTATATCTTTTACAAATTATTTTTAATAAATATCAGGCATTATAATATTTCATATGTACTATTTCAGTATATGTCTCTCAAAGGTAAGGATTGTTCCTTTAACAGGATCATAAATTATTATTAGGCATGAAAGTTAGCAATAGAAATGTGAGGATGGCTCACTTCTGGGCATGGTTTTGATCTGTTGTGCATAAGATTAATAAAAATGGGAGTCAGTTCTGGGACATCTAAGAGCAACCACAGCTTTTGTAGATCACATTCTAAGTGTTTTGGCTAAATTACTCCATGAGTGATGTTGGTTCATCAGAAGGTAAATAATATTGGATCATCTCTTTCAGTATTAGCTATTGCTATACTGCTCATGGCTGAGCTGGTCTGTGCTGTGATTAACGCCACTGGAACACTCAGTCATTAATTTATGAGCATTGACAAAACTCGATTCTCATTTTGCCATCCTGCTTTGTATTTTTTGGCTTGGTTATTCTACATTTGGTTACTCTACATGGTATTTCCTTTTAGAAATACAGACAAAATACTTCATTTTCCCCTACCTCTTTCTTTTGATTTTTTTGGTGGGGATTATTATTATTATAATTACTATTATTATTATTAATTTTCTTGTACTAGTTTACTTACAAAATTCGAACACATTGTTTTCCAGAACAGATTCTTCCAATTTTCCTCACTCCTCCCACCCATCAAATTGTACAACTCCGCGATTAATCCCCCCTCCTTGCACATCCTCATTCCCCTACTTCCACCTCCCCCTTATGACCCAGCTATTCCACAACTTGGAATACACCCTGAAAAAATGAGAACTGAGGCACAAACAGACTTGTACACCAATGTTCATAGCAGCGTTATTCACCATCACATGGACATGGAAGCAGTCGAAATGTCCAACCACAAACGAGTGGATTGAGAGATTATGGTACAATCACACAATGGAATACTACACAGCACTCTGGAGCAATGATTTTGTAAATTACTATCTAACGTGGGAGGGACTGGAGAGCATCATGCTGAGTGAACTAACTCAGTCCCACAAGGACAAATATTGTATAAAACCATTATGGTAGAATGAGTATAAAGATCCCTCCACCTCTTTTAGTTACTACTTCTCAATGAATCTGTTCCCTGTCATTTAGAAAATATGACCTTTTAGTATTATTACTATTTATAGATTTAACATATTTAATGTGTCGATCTACTGCAGTTATTATCTTTTTTATTTTCAAATCATCCCATTGTTAGACAATCAGGACTTTAAATTGAGTCCTGGGGTTTTTTGGTATAATTGCAATAGTCCTTGATTAATACTCTCTCTGTTTATGAAAATTTTTTTCTCTTTGCAATTTATTTATTGGATAAATTATAATGTTACTATGTTGAACCACTAACCAAAAGGTGGGATCTCTCCCACCATAGCTCAGCGGGGGGTTATCTTGAGTGTTTCAGTGCCTAGTCTTTCCAGTAGGCACAACCTAGAAATAACTTTTTCTTAAAAAAATAATTATATGATTCTATGTGAGTTCATGCAGCCCAAATTTAGAAGTTTGAAGTTGTGGCTCCTCTCTCCTACATGTACCATGTCCGTAACACCAACATAAATACTCATTTGCTGTATCTTACAATACACATGGAATAGTCTGAACATAAAAACACCAACACCAAAAGCAACAAAATTATTATGGAAAATGGTTTAATCGTGTTTTAAATTATCTTTCTTTTCAATACAGGGTGTTATAAGACATTTAGAGAAATTCTCATTTCTATGTGAAACCTGATTCAAAATACAATAAAATCATTTGGTTTGTTTTTCATTTATAATATTGGAGTTTGCGGGAGAGAGAATTTCAAGATAGAATTTAACTTTATAATAATATGAAATAGTTATATGTTTCAAGTCAGACCTGCAAAAGTAATATTCCTGGCTTCTAGATCTTTCTATCCCCACCCTCCTCTACAGAGAATTTTTGTTTCATTTTTGTTGCTTAATCCTCCTTTTTAAAATTTAAGCAAGCATTATTGCTTTTGTTAGGTGCCGTTGAGCCCACTACGACTCACAGGGACCTTGTGATCAACAGAGCTGAGCCTTGCCTTATCTTGCACTGTTGTTGTAAAGGTTCTCGTGCTCAAGCCTGTTACTGTAATCACTGTGTCAATCCACCTTGCTGAAAGTCTTGCTCTCTTTCACGGACCTTCCACTTTTTCCAACATAATCACTCTTTTCACGGACTGGCCCCTCCTGAAAATATATTCAAAGTATGTGAGTAAAGAAAGTTTAACTATTCCTGCCTCTCCAGAGCACTCTGGCTGCACTTTCTCCAAGACAGACTTTTTTGGGAGGGTTGGGGGGTTTTTTTTGGTGTGTTTTAGGGGTGGGGGGCGGTTTGCAGTCTATGGGATATTCAGTACTCTTCTCCAACACCACAATTCAAAGGTATCAATTCTTCTTCAGTCTTTTTTATCCTTTGTTCAACTTTCAGATGCATAAGAAGCAACTGAAAATGCTATGACTTTGACCAGGTGCACATTAGTTTTTAAACTGATACAAACAAATTCACTTATATCAGTATCTCCTCTTTCTGAGACAATCCAGTTATTTTCAGAATTTGCATTATAAATATGAAGAATGCAAGTATACTTTTATATTTCTTTTTTTTAACTTTTATATTTCTTAAAATGCAAAGCAAGAGATATGATCATTTCACATTTATTTTTTGAAGATAATTATTTGAACACTTTACAACTACTGAGACCTCAGTTCTGATTGGAAGGAGGTGTCTAAAATGCAGTAAGTTTGACTGAAATACTAAAACGCAACAAAAATTCAATAAATAATTTTCTCTGAGACTATATGATATAGAAATTGAAACTCACTACTGTCTCAATACCATTGGTTTTGATGTATAGCAACCCTACATCAGTTCTCCAAGCTGTAAGTCTTAATGGGGAACAACTACCCACAGTGGTGTTAAAAACACTTTTATCTCTCAAGGGCATCCCTATAATAAACTCAATAGATACGTGTTTCTTTTAGAAGAATGACTTATTTACAAACCTTCAAAATTATTCTTTCTCATAGATCGAATTGCACAGAACATCATTAAGTCCCACCTGGAGACGTGTCAGTACACCATGGAGGAGCTGCACCAGCTGGCGTGGCAGACCCACACCTATGAAGAAATTAAAGCGTATCAAAGCAAGGTACTCAGACGCAATGGGGATGCTTTCTATGGTCACCCTGTTTCTCAGTGGTGGCATTACTGACATTTGAGCTGAATGATACTTTGCTGTCGAAAGCTGTCTTGTGCATTGTGGGCTGTTTTTGCAGCAACACCCCCCCCCCCGCAGTGTGAGATGTAAAAAGTGCCTCCAGATATTTCAAAATACTCCCTGAGAGGAAAATCATCCCAGAGTAAAAGATTTGTCCATTTGAGTGACCCAAGAGATTGTGTATCTCTTCAGAGGACTTTAAGACATCTGCTTATCAATGTCAGGCAAGAATAAGGAATATTGAGTAGTCACAGTAACAATAACAATCACAAAAGTATACAACAAAGATAGTGGAGTCAGCATTCTAAAAGGAAGTTTAGTTTTGCTGGTCTGTGTTCACATTATACCCATTCCTCACTTATCAACATGACTATGTTCCAAAGATCAAGTCTTTATTTGACAATTGGCATTTTGGAAAAATGGAAGATCACCATGTTGGGTCACCTAATGGAGGGCAGTTACACCATTACAAAACTGCCAAATTACATTTCTGCAATTCCAAACTGCTGAGAATCCTGGGCCAGACATCTGGCACATTAGCCTAGCCAACACAACCAGTTTTACTCTGCCTCATATACCCTTTTGTTCCTGCTCAGCGTACATCAATGATATGCAAAATAGTAAAAAGTGCACTACTGTTATAAATGCAAAACCTTTTATAATAAGATAATTGATAAGTGAGGCATGACGTTGAGTTTCTCAGTTACAACACTGATAATAATTACGAGTCACTGTTGACTGGACAGCATTTGACAACAAGAAGTAGATGGAATTTTAGTAAAATACATATTTGTATATTTCTTAATATATGATGCCTCCATACTGAATTTTATCTACTGGAACAATGAAATCTTAATATGTTTATATAAGTAAGGAGTCAGAGCAGAATTAACACGCATGAATCTTATTCCAGATTAAACAGCCCGAGGCCCAAGGACTGAAACATATTTCTGGTAGTCTATGTTACTTAAAAGAGTGATACTGTTTGATTTTATGCCTTTTGCCTTCAAAGTATTTTCATAGGATAAAGTTCTGGGAGAAGAACACTATATAGAAAGGTTACAAGTTTAGCATTCGATAAATAAGGACTCCTGAAAAATGGCATCAGGAGAGCTTTTGTTTTCATTCTCTCTTCAAGCAAGTTTGTTTTCATGTATGAAGAGCTGGAGCTTAAGTAAGCAGAAAGAGAGGGAATAAAACAGCTCAAGAAATTGTTTCTTACGCTATGTTTAATGTCTCTACTATTTTTAGCCTCGGTAGTACTTTTATAAAGTGGTGTTTCAAAGTTCAAGTACATCAAAACATTATCTTAGCAAATACTGCCTACTTGTTTTAAAGGAATCAAGTAACTAGCTACTTTGAGTCCCAAGTGACGGCTAAGCGCCAGTGAGGCAGCCCTGCCTGTTTTGTTGAGTCTCCAAGGAGTTCGGCTCCTCTGATATTGTGTGCTTTCTCTCTTCAAGTCCAGGGAAGCGCTGTGGCAGCAGTGTGCCATCCAGATCACTCACGCCATCCAATACGTGGTGGAGTTCGCAAAGCGGATCACAGGCTTCATGGAGCTCTGTCAAAACGATCAGATTCTGCTTCTGAAGTCAGGTGAGCAGCAAGTGAAGATGCACAGAGAGTGAAGGGCACCCACTTCAAGCTGGGATGTGATAGATCCTCTGTTTGGGTTCTAGGGAATCTGCCTTTCAATACACTGCACATTTTTACCACCCACAACGTCAGCCAGCTCCCCAAGGAAGCACTCAGTAATATAAATGCCCTGGTACTCATTCAGCTCGCCTTTGAAGTCAAACACAATTTTGCTTATTGAAAGTGGAGCTATTAATTGTGGAGGTTGAGATACCCAGCTTGACAGGCAGTGCAAGTAATTAGCGTGTCAAGGTGCTTGAATTGCTGAGCTGGCGCTAACGCGAACTCCTTGCCTTCAGTGGGGAAAGAAAAAAATCAGGCTAGCTGAGCTCTGCCTCTGTGGTCATTTCCAATCATTTTAATGAGGATAGCCTGCAGCCAGAACCCACCCGGAGAAGCTCCGCTGTGCTGTAATCTCCCCTCCCCTCCTCTATCTCACACGCACTGGCGAATGCACAACCAGGAAGAAGCAGCTCAGAGCCTCTCACATGATGGACTTTGCAGATGCTCATCCCCAAACAAGAAAAGTGTATTTGTCTTTCATAATCCCTTTCAAAATAAAGAATGAGAACCACTGTTGTGTTAAACCTTAGTGCTTCTGGGCCATACTACTACTACCACTATTATACTTCGACGCACAGAACAAACAAACAAAAAGTTATATGTTTGTGTCCACCTTATGACATTTCATTTAATACTGTGATCTTGGCATTCTAATTTCCATATCGGAGAAGAAGGTAAAGATTCAGTCATCCAAGTACACTAGAAAATTCTAAGTAGTTACTGTAGCTTTTTTACCATATGATGTAGATGGATGCAAACTTTGATGAATCATGTATCTATTACTGATAACTATTTTTTAAAAAGCTCTGAAATGAAATTCACTGATAACCATTTCTTCAGCTCTTAAAACTTCAAGAAAACGAAAGTCCTCATCACTGGACCAATAAGTAACATCATGATTGATGGAGAAAGGATAAAAATAGTCAACAATTTTGTGTTACTTGGATCCACAATTAACACTCATGGTAGCAACACCCAAGTAATCAAAAGATGTATCACACTGGGGAAATCTGCTGGCTGTGACATCTTCACAGTCCTAAAAAGCAAGAACATCACTTTAAAGACTAAAGTGTACCTGGTCCAGTTACTTCCTATGAATAGGAGAGTTGGACAATTAATAAAGAAGACCAAAGAAAAATTGATGTCTTTGAATTGTGGGGTTGAAGGAGAGTACTGAATATTCTAGAAACTGTCAATAAAACAAGCAAATCTGTGTTGGTAGACGTACAATCAGAGTGCACCTTAGAGGCAAGGATGGTGACACTTCACCTCATATGCTTTAGGCATATTGTTAGGGGGCTCTGACATTGGAAAAAGACAGCATGCTAGTAAAGAAAGAAGGTCAGAGAAAGAGAGGATGACCCTCAACAAGATGGACTGACACAGTCACTATAACAATAGACTTGAGCATATGGGCACTGGTGAGTTGGGTGCAGGACAGGGCAGGGTTCAGAACTGTCGTCCACAGGGTCACTAGGCATCATAGTCGAGTTGATGGCACCTAGCAACAATAACAGCAAAACTGTTGGAGGGAGCTCTGCTGGCCTCGTCCACAGGGAGTGGCACTGCTCACTTAAATGTCGTGTTTCTATTAAAACAGACATTCAGATGGCGGGGAAGAAGAACAAACTGGGGAGGAGGGTAGAGAGAATGGTGCAGCAATGAAGGAATGAAAACCCAAAATCCCTGTAAATGTTCATTAAAACTAATAAAATTTAATAATAAAAAAAATGTTGTGTTTCTCTCTTCAAATCTACCAGCAACTCAAAAGGAGAAAGATGGGCCAGCTCTTGGGCAATTCACAGCCTCAGAAACCCAATGGAGAGTCAGTTATGAATCAGTTCTAATTCATCGCCAATGCGTTCTTGGAGATTGCTGTTTATGTTGGGAAGACATTGCTTCAGTTCATATTTCCAAATCCTCTCCCATGTGTAAATCCTTGAAGTGATAGACATAGATACAAAAAGATGTCATAATAAAGGCACCAAAGATATATTCAATCATGATGCTTGACGTTCTCTTGCATATCTGTGATTTCCCTTTCTGCCCATCACTTTCCAACACACTATATCAAGAAAGAGCTCTGGTGGCATAGTGTTTTAATGTGTTGGACTGCTAGCTGAGAGGTCAGTGGCTCGAATCCACCACCTGTAAAGATTTACAGCCTCACAAACCTAACAGAGAATCTCTGAGAGTTGGAATAAATTTGCTAGTAAGGGTTTGTGTATTTTTAATATATAATCAAAAGCACTATTTTTCCAAAATATGGGGGGCTGAAAACAGGCAGCAATAGTTTCACAGGATGTCAATGAATGCTTTGAAAGAAAAATAAAGGCAGGAATTACTCTACTTAATAAATATTTATTAGCACTTGCTATAAGCCAGGACATTTCTAGGCCCTGGAGATGCAAAGGGCCAAAAAGAAGTCTTAACTGCCCAAGGATTTAGATGAGGTTCCTACCTTCATTGCCTGACCGTGGATTCAGAAACATGCAGAATTCACCAAGGTTGAACAGGCTCCTTCTGCAAGCCAGAACTTGGTGCGGCCTTTTCAAATATTGATGTAATTCTCTGTACAGAGTGGTTTTGACAAAACCTATTTGACCAGGAAATCCTTGTTTCAAAGAACATCACAAGCAAACAGTGCCTCCAGAAACACACAGAAATACTCCACCCAAACCCTCATGTGCTGAAGTAGACAAGGATTGTGTTAGAAACTCCATGTGGCAGCTGAAACAGAGAGCAAGTTTTCTTGCAACAAAAACGCCTTCTGAAATTAACAGGCTCGAGTTGCCTTGCTGCCCGATTTCTTTCAGGGCCACTTATCATCAATTGTACACTCAAGAACTGTAACTCATTTTAATATTAGGAAGAAATGTATGCATCTAAAATACATGTTAGCCTCTGTGGGAGCTATCTTTAGAAAGGTGCTTTATTTCTAATTCCTTAAATAAGTCACAGGGGAGCTTATTTCTAATATAGTTTATTTTTTTTCACTTGGAGAGGAATTGAGGTTTTTTGTTATGTGTATCTGTGTGTGTTAAAGTTTTCAAATCTCTTGACCTATATGCTATAAGAATAAAAAATTATTTACACTCTATATTGAGTTTTCTCAGCTCCACAATCAACACTCTTAGCACCAGCAGCCAGGAAATAAAAAGATTAATTGCATTAGGTAAATCTGCTGTCAGGGACCTTTCCTGAGTACTGAGAAGCAACGACGTCAGTGTCTAGACTAAGGTGCACCTGATCCTGGACTTCACAATTCCTTGTTATGTATCAGAGAGCTGGGCAATGACTAAGGATGAGAGAAGAAGAATTGATGCTTTTGAGTTGTGGTGCTGGAGAAAAGTCTTGAACATACTATGGACTGCCAAGAAAACAAATAGGTCTGTCTTGGAGAGAGTGAAACCAAGTTCTTCCTTAGAGGCTAGGATTTTGAAGCTCCATCTCACATATTTTGGTCATGTGACCAAAAAGGTATCAATCCTTGGAGAAAGACATCATGCTCAGAAGGGTGGAGTGACCATGCAGGAAAGGAAGACCCAGATGAGATAAACTGATATAGTAACTGGGGCAATGTGGATAGATGTGTCCATGAGACTGGCTCAGGACAGGGCAGGTTTCAGAGTTGTTATACATAGTATGGTCACTATGAGTTCAGGCAACTCAACAGCACACAACAACAACAGCAACTATATATTTATATAATTTAATAATTTATCAAATACATATTGATATAATATTTCTACACACACATGCACGCACACACACACACGTGCGCACTTTGAGCATGTTGCCAGGAGGTACCAGTTCTTAGAGAAGAACATGAACATCATGCTTGGAATAGTAGAGGGTCAGCACACAAACAGGAAGACCCTGGATATGATGAATAAGGTGGATGGACACACTGATGGTGTCAGTGAGGTCAGGTGTGTCAGAGATGGTGAGGTTGGCTCAGGATAAAGTTCAGAGCTGTTGTTCATAGAGATGCTATAAGACATAGTCAACTCAACAGCACATAACAACACAATATGTGTGTGTGTGTGTGTGTGTAGATATCTAAATCTATACACACTCATATATATAAGGGGAGCTCTTAAAAGCCTAATGATAAGAAATTTCCTTGTCAACCCAAAGGCATGTGGTTCAAATCCATTAGCTGCTCAATAGGAGAAAGATGGACAATCTCCTTTCATGTGATTTATAGTCTCTGAAAACCCATTGGAGGGTCAGTGATGAGATGGTTCTGACTCAATAATACGTGACACTAACAACATACATATATGTGTGTTTGTCTCTGTGTGTATGTATATACCTAATTTTGGTTTTTTAACTTCTAGGTTGCTTGGAAGTGGTTTTAGTGAGAATGTGTCGTGCCTTCAACCCACTAAACAACACTGTTCTCTTTGAAGGAAAATATGGAGGAATGCAAATGTTCAAAGCCTTAGGTATGTTTCCCTTTTTGATGACATAATTTTATTACCCATCATCAGTTTTTCCCACTTGCATCACCATACATAGATGAAGTCCTTTGTCTTGTTCATATTCATTAAAAGAAGAAAAAGAAAACCAGTAATCAGTTGAATAGTGTCAATTCCAATCCCTGGTGTCGCCATTCGTGACAGAGTAGAAGTGCATGCCACAGGATTTTCAAGTAGACAGGCAGCCCTTTCCTCTGAGGTGTCTCTATGTGGATTCTGGTCTGTAATCTAGTGGTTACCCATTTACACCATCAAGAACTCTCCATGAGAATTTTAGAGTCTTGATATTCAATAGGAAAGCACTAAATCAGCCTCCAGCCTCCAATCTAATTCTCCCAATCTTACAATGATGCCACCTATCATGGAAGTTATGATAAGGAGTTATGTTGCCAATCCAAAGGCACGTGGTTCAAATCCACCAGCTGCTCCACAAGAGATAGACGAGCAATCTCTGCCTGTGCGATCAACTGCTTCTAGAAACCCACTAGAGGGTCATCCAAGGGTTGGGTCCAACTTGATGGTACGTAACAACAAAAATTTGGAAGACAGAAAAGATCCACAAAGCTATTGAGACATTTTGTTATTCGCTGCTGACAAGACAATTTCAACTCATTTTTATTCCACCCTTCATCCTGAAATAAATTGAGATCACTTCTTTAAAAGCCAGAAAGCATTGTATGTCATTCTTTGAAGAATTTTTATTTTCCAGTTTATTGCTTTACAGATTATGTTGTATAGACCACTGGTTCACATGGAGGTGAACTCTTTAAGTTTCTTGTAGAAATTAATAATTACAGAGTTTAATTGAAAGAAGCCTCCTTCTCTTTTTTTTTCCTCACCCAGGGCAATGATTTTTGCCCCCCTGTTCATTCTCAAAGTATGAGGTATAGATACAGTCGGTACTGATATAACCAAAATCATTTCTGGATCATTACTGATGGAGGACAAGAATTCTTGTGCATTTGAAGCGCTACGTATTATCCCCACCCTGTCATTACTGCAAGCCCATGAGTAAGAGGAACACTAGCAAAGATGGACTGATGCCAGGAAAGTTTCCCGGTTGGCAATGCCATTTGTTCCGTATTCTGCCACAGGCATCAGAGAAGGGCACTGTCCCTTGACCTTGTGCTGTCAGTTGATACAGTGGCCAACCCCATATCCATCAGGGCTGGCAAAGTTTCCTTTCTGCAGCTGATACACATCCATGCCATCTCTGAGGCTAGATTTTCAAGAAAGGAGGGAAAGTCTTCGCAAACAACGTCAGTATATTTCCAACTTCATAAAAGAAACATGTACAAGGGATCAGGTTAAGGATGAAGCATGAGTTTAACACAGTTTACGATGACTGAGAGCAAGTTAACTTTGGCATGTTGTCAGGACAGACCGGTCCTTAGAAAAAAGACACCATGCTGGGAAAGATAGAGGGTCAGAGAAAGAGAGGAAGACCTTTAACGAGGTGGATTGACCCAGTGACTCTAACAGTGAACTTGAGCATTTCCAACATCTTGAGGATGAACCACATGGGGCAAAGTTCAAGTCCGCTGTTGCTAGAGTTGCTGTGTGTGAGTCAGTCGACTCAACGGCACCTCTCCACAACAACAAGCAGCTTACCAGTGAGTCATTTGCCCGAAGGTAAAAATAAACAAGCCATGTTCCTCAATCAAATTTCCAGGGAAATTACTAAATTGGAGAGTACCATATCTCCAGGCTGTGAGAAATTCCTGACAGCTCAGGTCAGAGCAACCCAGTATCACTGGATGCAGAGCCTCTAAAATGACAGGACACTGTCTTTTCAGCTAATGGTTTTCTGTTTTTCTATGAATGATATCTCTGCTCCAAAGGTTTCTCTAAATCACTTCTTAGAAGTAAATTTTTAGTGGGAAATCATTTTCTTCTTTGAGATTAGATTCAGGTTATGCATTCCCAGGTAGAAATCACAAGGGAAGGTATACTTCTCAGTGGGAGTGTTAATTCTGATCACCCAGTCAAGACGCTGCCCAGCATCTCCCCACTGTTATCACTCCAGGAAGGTCTATAGATGGAGTGGTAATGTACTCAGCTAGTAACTAAAGATCAGAGGCTTGAACCCACAAGCTGCTCCATGAGCAAAAGATATATGAATAGTTATAACTTGATACTATAGGGTTACTGTGGGTTGGAATTGACACTTCAGAGACGGGTTCTAGCATAATTATTAAATAACTCTTTATATTTACAAACAACACCAAAAAAACAGGTTCCATAGAATCTCTTATTCATGGCAATCTCAAATGTGTTCAGAGCAACACGGTACATTAGAAGGGTTTTCAATGGCTGATTTTTTCCAAAGTGTGTCACTGGGTCTTTTTGTGCAAGGAGCCTTTAGGTGGACTTGAAACACTAACTTTCCAATTAGCATAAGAGGAAAACGACTTGCACAATCTTTTTTAATACACAGGAATTTAGAAATATTTCTTTAGCTAGCTAGTTTGCAAAACCTTGACTTGCCTCTTGATTATTAGAAGTTTCTTAGTGCTTCCTCAGTCCATTTAAGAATTTCCTTTTCCATATCCTTTTCTTTCTTTCTTTTAGGTTCTGATGACCTGGTGAATGAAGCATTTGACTTTGCAAAGAATTTGTGTTCCTTGCAGCTGACAGAGGAAGAAATTGCTTTGTTCTCATCTGCTGTTCTGATATCTCCAGGTAGGGAGATCTGACGTGTCTTACCTTTTAAGCTCCTTGTCACGGAGTCAAACCCGACGCATCACTAACCTTCCAGCAGGTTTCCAAGGCTGTGGATTGCACTGGAGGGGATTTCCCATCTTCCTCCAACCAAACCACTGATGGATTCGAACTTGCAGAGAAGCTCAGCTTTGGGTTAGCAGTAGCACTCTACACGCTGACCTTCCAGAGCTCCCTTTTTTCCTTGAAGAAACCTATTTTTCTATCTTGGATATCAGCCCCACTTGTGTAAGCCAATGTGTTCAGGAGAAACTTTAAAATAACCCATTTTTTCTTTAGCAGTTTTATGATATTTTTGGATAATGCAAAAAGGAAAAAAAATTCCTCTAACCAATTACTATGACCAGTTTTGTCCCAAAAGCAAAAGTTTGGCATGTGGTAGGGATCATTCCAGATTCAGAGAAGCAAAATTGTTCAGCAGATAAATGGAAATAGATAGTGGCCTAGGTGACAGTAAAATTTTATTTTAACTTCAAAGATAAAGGACATAGTTGGGAGGGGGCGGGAAATGCCTCATAGATTGAGGTTTGGTACAAATATACCTAAATGAAATACCCAGCATAGGACAAAAATAAATATATACTTTCCTCTCTTTGTTGCTCCTTTGTTGGGTTTTTGACCCAAATTGACACTGATGTGCTCATATCAGACAATTGTTGGTGTCTTTACACGTAGCAAAATTGTTATTTGTTGCCATGAAGTCAGTCTCAACTCATGGGACCCAGTATGCAGGATAAAACCTCTCTGTAAGGTTTCCATGGCCTTTGGAAACTGTTTGCCAGGCTTGTCTCCTAAGATCCTGTGGGGGAGTTCAAACTGCTAACCTTTCTGATAACAGTTGAGCCTGTGCATTGAGCCACTCAACAGTAGGAGCTTTGAAAGGAAGGGACAGCAACAGAGGTGGGAAAGACTGTGGCAGATGGAAAAGGAAGAATCAAAGATGTAGAAGTAGATACTCAGCTCTGATACATCAACCAGTGTAAATTCAACACATGACCTCCCAAAGCCTCAGTTATAACCAAGGCCTTCCTTTGGCTCAATAATGGCATAAAATACCAAAACCTTTTCAAAGACGTTAAAGCATAACAATGTCTATTGAAAAAAAGAGAAGGGGCGGGGGGCTTCCAGTCAAATCATCATAGTTGGGAAAGTAGGTCAGCTAACGAGAAGACCCTCAGTGAGATGGATTGATAACAGCGATGAGCTGGAGCATGTGGAAGACTATGAGGATGGTACAGGATAGGGCAAGATTCAAATCTCTCCTTCTTAGCATCACGACGAGTTGTAGTCGAATCAAGAGCACCTGACACAGACAAGAAGTCAGGTGCCCTGTACCCTCATGATGACCCCACGTATGTCAGAATAGAGCTTCTCCATTGAGCTTCCTCTCTGTAATCTTGGCAGAAGTCGATCCCCAGGACCCCCTTTGGCAGCGCTGCGGCATAAGTTCGAACTATCCACCTTTGTGGTAGTAGTGTAAGCCCCTTATAACAATCTAGAAATTTCTAGCACGAAGTACCAACATTTTACAAAGAAGTTAAGATGTGATAATGTTTATGGGTCAAATGAAACTGTAGAAATGGAAATATTTCTTAAAATATATGTACACTTGCTATGTATAGAATCCTAATAAATAGATGAGTCCCTGCTTAGCCATAAAGAGGATCAAGTGCCATTAATTCAGTTTTCTGTTAAGTTAGATTTGGAAACAAGGGATAGCACTGTCATTGACAGCTCTCTATATTTGAGAAAGACACATTCCTGCCTTATTTTTATGCTCATTTGGTTCATTCCTTCAGTAACTCATTAAACCCTAGAGGCAAGTTCTCTTTCTTTATACTCTAACATATTTTCATAACGAGCTCTGATAGCATAGTGAATAAGGAGTTGCCCTGCCAACCCAAAGACTAGAAGGTCAAATCCACCAGCTGCTCTACGGGAGAAACATGGGCAATCTCCTCCCACAATTTACAGCCTCTGAAAAACCACTGGAGGGCGTGCTATGTATCCACTCTAACGGTCACAATGCGTTGAGTTTTTTTAACTCATTTTCAGTGGCATGTTATTCTAGCTATTTCTACCAATAATCCCAGCATGTGGCCAGAAGGGACCAGTCTTTGAAAAAGGACATCATGTTCTGAAGGGTGGAGGGACAGCACAGCAGAGCAAGGCTCCAGAGGAGATTGATACTATAAATCGGGCGATGTGATTAGGTATGTTGGAGTCAGTGAGACTGGCTCAGGTCAGGGCGGGCTTCAAAACTGTTGTGAGCATAGCTGCCTTCCAAAACTGTTGTACACAGGGTCGCTATGAGTTGCAAGTGACTTGACAGCCCATAACAACAATTATACTTTTTATCCCTGAGACTCTATGATTACTAATAAGATCTTTCATAGCTTCATAAAAGGTTTTTTGTTTTCCTTCCATTTTTGATAATCACTTTATAAAAAATGGAAATGGCTTGTTGTTGTTGTTACTGTTATTGTGTGCCATCAAGTCACTTACAACTCATAATGCCCTATGCATAGCACCTCTGAACCTTGCTCTATCCTGAGTCAACCTTTTTATTTCTGACACACCTACTCCCACTGCCTCTGTCACTGAGTCAATTCATTTCATCGAGGGTTTTCCTCTCCCGAGCTGTCCCAAGCATCACCCTCCCCAGCATCACATCCCTCTCCAAGGACTGGTCCCTTCTTGCAACATGCCCAAAGTATGTCAGATGAAGCTTCAGAATCCTTGCCTCCAAGGAGCAGCCTGGTTTCACCCTCTCCGAGACGAACCTTACCACTTGAAATGTTACTACTAAAATTCCATTTAAAATCCAATTGCTTCTTTAAATACTTACTCCTCATAACAAGGTTTTGATCTATTTTTCATAGGGTTACTATGAGCTATAATCAACTCAGTAACACCTAACAACATAGCAACTATGTGCCAAATCATGTTTCTCCTAATGGCTTCTCAATGTATTTGATTTTTCTATTGAGTGTAGTTCAATAAAGCACTGGTTCTAAGCCTGTGGGTTTATGGCTTAAGGAGGTAGGTTCACTCTGATTCTTCTTTGCTCCAAGAGATTGTTGTGGATCCTCTCTCCTATTTGTGCACAATTGTGGCAAGTCCATACCCAGAAACATATATTTAAGACAGCAAAGATCACGCCTTATTTATTATGGCTCAGGTGCAGAGAACTTAGAGGACTCAGAATGATCCATGAAGGTGCGATGCCACAGAAAGAAGGCAAGTCTTCTCCAAGTTAGAAACTGGCTAAGCTGATTAGATCCTTCTAGAAAGGGTTTGTACAGCCACTACATTCTGCTGAATTTGGATTTATGAGATCTTTCCTTCATCACACTCATAGCCTTCAACAACTCTGGACACCTTGTCTGCCTCCCTGGCCTGGAGCCATATTCAAAAAGAGGAGACAAATTGCCAGTCTGTGTAGGCTCCACCTTGTGCCAGGCCCCAAACTTCCCCTTGGTTCTTGCCATAATAGCCGCTGTGTGTGCAGTTCCAGATAACTTAGCAAAGGGGAAGGGAGAGAAGCTTCATTTACTCTGATTGACCATTGTCATGGAGGCTTTTGTGTTCACTTACGTAAGCCTTTGCTGAACTGTCTGTCTGGGGTTACAGACTCAAGTTTCTCACCTGACCTGAACTGTTTCAGGAGGATCATGTCCACGTTCTTTTCCATCAGTATTCGCTCAGCATTTAGAAATTCTGGGTGTCTCCTTTTTCACAGTGCAGTCTAAGGCATGGGCGATGGGATGCACTTTGTCACCGTGGTGCATTCACCCTCCAGAAGGTAGAAAAGAGGAGAGAGCGAGCGAGGAGAGAGAGAGAGAGAGAATGACGTATCTTTTCCCTATCTATAATCTAAAGATACCATATGGAAAACTAGGTCTCCAGAATAATTTTTTTAAAAAACTGATTCATGTTTATGCTATATTGTAATAAAGCCTTGAGTTCACACATGGTAAGAAAATAAACCCAGAAAGGCAAAGGGGAATCTAATTATCAAAACTGTCCCTCTACAAGCAGTTTTCTTCACAAGTGAAGAAGGATTCTTCACATTGTTTACATCCACTTTGAGGGAAAATTTAGACATATATTCAGTTAATGATAAAATATAAATTACCACAGTCAATAAGTAACATGAAGAAGTTTTTTCTGGAAAAAAAAACCAACACATCTAATTCCATCTTAATTTTATGTCAATATTCTTTGTATAGTTAAAGCTGTTCTCAGGAGCAATTTAGAAGTGATAATATGAAATAGGACTAAAACTTATATTTGCAGATGAAATAAAGCAAAACTTGTACTCTCTCCCTTCATTTTCATTCTTTTCCTTTTGTCAGACCGAGCCTGGCTGATAGAACCAAGGAAGGTCCAGAAACTTCAGGAAAAAATTTATTTTGCACTTCAACACGTGATTCAGAAGAATCATCTGGATGATGAGACACTGGCAAAGGTAAGTTCTCACGTCACAGTTTGACAATCGTGGAAAGAGGTCTCAGAGTTCTAAATAGGAGAGCACTCCGGTGGCATAGTCCATAGCAAGCTTGTGCTGCTAGCCCAAAGTTCAAGCTTCTCCCCACATTCTCCACCAGCAGCTCCACAGGAGAAAGATGAACCATCACCTGTGGATATATAGCCCCCCAAAGAGAAAGCATGAGCAAAAAAGCCTTACCTAGTAAAAGGGAGGACTTTCTCTGCAGTTGAAACTTCAGAATTACTCCAAAAGTCACGTAAATTTGGGAGAACACATTTTTAGAAGAGATTGGTGGATTGCAATAAATTGGAGGGAGAATGACTTAGAGAAAGATGATCTTGACAGATCTGAACTCAGGGCATAATAAGACATATGAAAGGAGTGAGTCAGCTTTCATCTGAGGAAGGAAAACTTGAAATGACAAACTAGAAATAAGTGCTTAAAATCACCTGCAAAGATAGAAGATTTTGTACCACTTGAGGAGTCACCATTTAGCAAGAGCATGACGATTAGTCTAACTGAGGAAGAACTATGAAATGATGAGAATTGTGGAGCATGTTGTTGTTATTGTTGTTGTGTACCATCATGTCAGAACCAGTGGGTTTTCAGAGGCAGCAAATCACTCAGGAAGAGATTGCCCATATTTCTCTCACAGAGCAGCTGGTGGATTTGAACCATATTCCTTTGAACTGGTAGTGCAACTCCTTATCACTAAGCCACCAGAGCTCTCTTTAGATAGACTATTCTGTGAAGGAGTGAGCTCTCTGTCACTGGTCATAATCTAGTAGACATGACCTGGTTTCCTCTTAGGTATGTTCTAATAGGTAATCCTAGCATGAAAAATTAGAAGGAATAACTTACAAAATGCCTCTCTGTTGTAAATAAGTTTGAAAGTCCTGCCCCAGAGTTCTCTCCAAATAGTGAGTTATTCTAGAGGCAAAATGCAGGCAGTATACCATCAATTTCTTGACTGTATTTAATTAAGAATGATAATTTTAAAGAGAATAGTTATAAAAGTTGTTTATCAAAGTAAACTAAGCATAAAAGAGAGGCAATGACAAACCAGCATGATTTCAAATCTTGCATTTATTTCTTTAAAACTGGAATTTTTAAGAAGGCAAGAGTTCTTTTCGATCTTCACTATCTTTGATTTCTTAAGAACAGAAATTTTGGAAGGTAAAAACTAGCAAATTGAGCTTATTTTTGGTTACAGATAATAAACATACAGCTCTTTATATTTTTATTGTTAAAACCATCCAACTTGGACCTTGAAGTTCTTTGTTTTTGAAAAAAGCAGAAAGGTAAAGGCTCAGTCAGACTTGCAGACACTGTCAGATCTTACTTTGTATTTGCAATCTACTAAACAAAAATAACGAGAGAGAGAGAAAAAACAGTGATGAATTAAAAATGCTACTTCATCATTTTGCTTCAACATTTTGTCTAAATAGAAGAACAGTAGAAAAACACCTGTCCCTGAAAAGAACATTTCCACACTGGGGAAAGACTTCTTTTTGATGTGACTTTCCCCATATGCTCTATGTGGTCAGGGTCAAGTCACCTGGTCTCTGTACCTTTGTTTCTCCCAGTCAAGAGCCAAACTTCAAAATGGTTTCAAACCTAGGGTGGGAAAGAGCAGTAACGCTAACAACAAATGTAGAAGTCTCTATAACTCTTTACTTGCTGACCTGTGGAGACCTATGTGTGGTCCACGGTCCCACAAAGTAGATTTGTGCACCAGATTTCCAACGGCTCATGTTCCAGAAGTAGGTTGCCAGGTGTTTTTCCAAGGCAACCATGGGAGGATTGAAACCTTCAACTCTTCAGTTAGGAGCGAGTATTCCAGATTCCTCTAAGGGTCCTGGGCTGTGTGAACAATTTGCCACCACTATTATCCTACAGACGAGCAGTATGAACCTGCACAAGAGTCCCCAGAAAGGAGACCTGTTGATCTGCTTCCAAAAGAGTCACATCCAAGCTAACCCCAAGAAGATGTTTCTCTCTGTAACACACAGAGTCTCTCCGAGTCAAAATTAACTCAATGGCAGCAGATTTCAGATTTTTTTTCCTGTTGGTGTTTCCTAGTGACATTTATGCATAAATGCATCAGTTAACTAAATGAAGGGATGTCTCCTGCATTTGGACTCTTCCCAAGATGCTGGGCAAGGCAACTCACTACTCAACTATTAAGGTTTTAATAAAATCTAAAATTTCACAAAAATCATCTCTATTTGGCTTTGGCAGTTGTCTACTTGTCAAAAAACAAAGCAAAAAAGCAACCAGCCAAGCTTGTCTATTTACTTACCAAATGATTGTAATTTATTGCTTCTGCATAGACATTCAAATGGGATATGTAGGACATAAACTCCAAGACACTGTGAAATTGTGACTCCTCCTCCCCGAAGAGTGAAATCCTCATGCTTGCACAACTCTCACCTTGCAGTGTTCTGGTGGTGACAGGAACTTTTGAGGCATTTAAGGTAGAACAAGGCAGACAAATTGAAGAATGAAAGATATTTAATGTCGGGGTGGGTGGGGGAAGACCAGCTATAAAAGATCTACTAGAGCTCAGTTGCTCAGTTTAACTCTCCTTCCTGTATCATCTTTAGTGGAAAAAGTATGGTTAACTTCTCAGGAAAGTAATATTGCAACACAGAGAAAGCATTAAAAGATTTCTAGTTTAAAGCTCGTTGGAGCCAGGTGACAAAGCCTTGCTTTTGCAGGTTATATGCAGATAATGTGCTGTTGCTGTTACTGTTGTTGCCATTGGCTTCTTTGTGACAGTCTTCATTTTAATAAGATGTTATTTGAACAAATGTGGAGAGATTGTGACATAGGAGGAGCATTGACTCTGAGTCTCTCCCAGCTCTGCACTGCATGTGTTGGAGGAACACATCATTTGTCCAATTCTTACTCTTCCATTGTCAAGTGAGATCCAGTGTAAGGGTGTCATCTCCTTAATACTTGCTGCTTTGGTACTTTGCATGTAGGAGTGTCTTTTCAAACTCATGCTCCCCAAAATTAATGCTGTTGTTACACTTGTTACACAGTGTCAAATAGATGTCTACTCATGGGAACTCCATGAAACAAAGAACAAAATGCTACCCAATCCTTAGCTGTTCCCACAATCAATTGGTCATGGGTAGATCTTTCATGATCCAAAGGGTTTCCAGCTCGTGTGGCCTAGTCCATTGGGAATTGCACTGCTAATTCAGAGGTATCACCTCTCTGCAGGTTCAAATCCACTGGAGGCTCCAAGGAAGAAAGGTGGGAAATCTCCCACTATGCAGTTCGTGGCCACTAGAAACCCAGTGACGGGTCAGCTATGCAGTGGTTCCAACTTGAGCTTTTAGAAGCAGATTCCCAGACTTTTCTTCCTAGTTTGTCTTAAGGATCTTTGCAGAAACCTATTCAGCATGATAACCCCAAAATCATAGTTTTATTTCAATCCAAGAAAAGTTGTCCCACCATTGATTCATTCATGTTTCAGAAATACAACTTTTACCTTCATAACCTCAGAGATCTTCTGCCTCTACCACATCTCTAAAGCATTAAAATTTTTTTGGTTCATGATGCTGTTGGAGAACTTGAAGGACCTTAGGAGACTATACAGATGAAAAAATGCACACATAGCCAAAATGTTGTGTCCAAGTCCAGGCACTTTCACTAAAGCTAAACCCTCTGGCATCAGGACTAGAATTGTTTTCTCTGCAATATGCTAAGACATGTGTATTCTGTCTGAAATCTGAACAAGTGTAGCAGACAGCAAGTTAGAGGCATAGGTATCATGCACAGTTGTAGAGATTCTTTAAAGAACACACTTTCTACTGATCCATTTTTCTGAAATTGGTTTAGCTAACAATGCATTTGGCTAATCTATCCTCCTTCTGTAACCCCAGGAAGGTGTGAATATTGAGGGATAATTTATTAGCTAGAGAATTTCATTCTATATATTAACCAGGATATTATGTGATTAAGGGGTTAAACCCCTCAAGGTATCCCACTTCTTCCTTTCTTCCATACACTGATATATATGTATTTATAATGGGCCACTTGCTAAACTGAGTGACCCTGGAATAGTGGCTACCCTCTCTGTGCCTCAGTTTCTTCATTTATAAAATGTGATGAGAGAAAGTGCTAATCACATGTGGTTATTTTGAGGCTCAAATGAGAAATAAATATGTGTGACGTGCCTTGCCCATCATAAGCAATAAGGCAGTGCTGTCGGAGAAGCTATTGTAGTTATTGTTGACTGAGGAAATTGTATTTCACCAGGGAACTTGTCTAAGTGATGGAATATCTAATCTAATTAGTGATGAATGGAAAATGTTTCAAATTATGGACAAGTTTGAGTAAGAAGAGGAAGTATGGCATCTCAAGTAATAGAGACAAGGGTAGAGAGGTTGGAAAATGTAAGGTATGTTTAGGCTTTAGATAATAGATTGACAGGCAGCCAGGAAATGAGATCACACTGGTCATTTTTCCTAAAGCTTTTAAAACATATATATGTATTTTATATTTACACATACAGAAATATAACTGTATAAATACTATACATATATATTTTTAAGTCCCATCTGACTAGGGAAGCAGCCCATCTGTTCTCTGAATTTCCTTGCCTTATCTGGGAAGCAAGTGGTTTGGACTGAATGATCTTTAAGGTCACTTCAGCACTAATATTCTTTGACTCTATAAGAGAAAAATAAAGGTTCCTCTTGACGATCTCTTTTGCCCTCCAGCGTTCCATCCATTGTGATGTTTTAAAAGATGCTTTAGATGCTTTTCCATTGCAGTAAGTGAATAAAAGGGCTGACTTTGCTGAGCCTGGAAGATTCACATTAATGCTCTACACTCTGGTGGTTCAGAGGAGGATGGTATCACAGACCCAGAGCTGCACAGACAGATCCACAGCTCGTCAAGCCTGGAGGTCAGCATTCCTGCCAGGTTCCCAAACAGGGCTCATCCCTGTGACCCCGGCGCGC